ATTTGTGATTCTGTTCCTGATTGCGAACACCTGAAAGTCAGGGACTCAGTCTCTCCTGTTCACAACTGACTCATTTCTGAGACTATAAACTTTAAGTGCTTATTTGGAATAAGTTGTTATTACAATTATTTGAGCTTATAGTTGTTCAACAACATAAATATATTTTGCACTTTTAAAATCAATTATCGATTTTAAAAAGCAAACTGGCATTCAAAATTCATCTTGAGGTGCATAGCTAACAAATTAATATTACTTATTGCCAGAAAAATACAGAAATCAATATTAGAGTTATTCCTTTCTTTTTTATAGATATGTTGAAAATCTTGTTCACATACATAAATAGAAGGATGCTGAAGTTTATTATAGCAATGTTATTTAGTGTTTTGTCCCTTTTCCAAGTTGAATGCTAAAAATCACCTAGAAGTCTATCATCATTATTTTTAATTGTCTTTCAGTAACAGCCCAACTAGATCTAACTCTTCCTCCTTGAAAGTAAAGAATTGGAAAACCATCCAACTTGTAACAGAATTATTCTTAAGCCAGTCATGGGGGCATACACTTCCTAACACCTCCATCAGCATTTTGAATGTGCCATTGCTTGAGGCTCCCATCCCCTCACTAGATCTTTTACCCCAGCCTGTACACCAGGAGAGAGCTACCTGTTCATATTTTTAGTGAGAGAATGGTAATGTGAAAAAAGAGATGAGAAAGAACCCATTCTAATATTTTTTTCATGCCTTTGGTAGTAAAACACTGTCACCGAGACACAAGGAGCGGGGTCAAGGGAGTTCCACAGCTGCTCCCTTGTTCCACCTTGCCCCACGTTCCACACAGTAGCCATCAGCCAGAGATTGTCTCCTGTGGTCGTTGTAGAATCCAGGCTTCTTCCATCTTGTGGTGTGACTTTTCTAAAATCCCCTCCATTCAACTGGAAGTTATGAAAAGAGCATGGTTAATCACATGTGAATATAAACCTGAAATATCTTTTGAACTATTTCATCTTGAGTATATTTGCTCTAATCCTGAGTTATTGGTTTATATGGAGTCATAAGGTAACGGAGACTTATAACTTTTCATTGCATTACAAATCCTGTAATTCAGTGGTTGAAGCTACAAGTGTCGATTAGTGACAATTTCATAAAGCACCAAGAAGAGCATGTCTGACTTTCTGCAGCCATTTCCTCCATTTTTAACAGGAAATAACTTGGCACAAAATTTAGATTTTTCTGTTTAAAAAAAGTATTTCTGTGACTTGTTCTGATATATGTATTGGATGATTTGAGATCAGTGAAGCCATCACTAAACAAGGACTTTTTAGTTTGCACAATATTAGCTGCCTTAGAAGAAAAAAAGATGAACCTGATGTGACAGTCATATACATGTTTCTGACAACATTATACATGTCTGATACACCTGAGTGCACAGCAGCCCTATTTTTCCTCAACATGATCATCAGATAATATGTGTTAAGCCCACATTTGGATAGAAGGTTTACAGCACTTCTATTATATTTGTTTTGTGTTGTTTCCTGTGGGCTTCAGCTCCTAAGTGAGTAGGGCAGACCTCAGGGCATAGGCTCACATGAGCTCTTTCTTCCTTCACTTCTTCTAGATACCAGGTCATCAGCTGAAAATAGCTCAAGTCCATAAGCTTTGGACACAAGACGCTTTAATATTCTTGTTTATAACTTGAATGACATAATAAAAATTATGCTCATTCAACTTTCAGAAGGTAAAACTGAATGGGGTAGTTAATATTTGTTCAATAGATTTCATTGTGTATTCAATGATTTGGAGAAGCAAGCAGGCAAACCAGATGATCTGGGAAGGTTGACTTAACAAAGAAAACAAAACCACAAATCTCAAGTATAGATGAAAGTACTTAAATGACTTAAGAGAATATCTTGGACTGTAATGAAAAACAAACATAAAGAGTTACTATAGAAGGTCCTAAAACTCACAGAACATTATGTAACCAGTAAAGGTATAAATAAAACAGAGACAATTTTATAGTATCAGTTCATATTTCAGACCTGGGCTTGAAGCCCAGACTTTTATAGAAACATGCCATAAACTCAGCATTTAATTGACTATAAATGATATTCCTTTATGTTTCTGAAATGTATACAAATTGATTAAAGTCCTCATCACTTGGCTGAGTAGTATCCCATCTGGTCACTCTGCCTTCAGTCTCACAACCTTTGGCTTTATCCTCCACACACTTCCCAAGTGGTGTGTCTAAGGTCTCACTACATTATCATCCCACTAAGCTTTGAGATCAGTCTGGATCCAGTTAGGGAAGAGAAGCCTCATACCATTGTAGACAGAACAAGTGTGATATAAATAATTATAATATAAATTATGTAAGGAAATTGGTGCTACAAATGGCTGGTAAGAAATCAAGCACTCTGTGTAGGAATACAACCTATAAGGAGTAGCCAGTAGTCTTAGGGCTATCATAGAATCCAAGGATAAGGTCCCTCAGGGTTATTGGGGAAGGGCCTGGCTGTAGCTCATTCTGGGACCCAGCTAGAGCAGCCTGCTGGACCTCTGTCCTCCAGAACTTTCCAAAAATCCACCCTCCAGGGAGCTAGTGAAACTGCTAGCTAAGGAGAATACTTAGAAAACTTCTGGACAATGGGTGCTGTGAGTTATCATGCACCCCAGAAGCTGGGTGCTGGGGCCCAGGAACCTGCTGAGTGAGCCCACGAGAATGGGAAGAAAGGACTCCTCTGCATGGTCTCTTCAGTGCCCTTTCCTGACAGAGTTTAACATCATGTCATCCAGCAGAGGAAAAATCTTTAAAGGGTGCAGATTCATTGTCATAGAGCAAGTACTTAAGGGAGAAGGCAGACCTGAAAGGCCATAAATTCAAAATTGGCAGATTTTTTTTTTACAAGGAGTACTTCAGGAGTCAAACTAACTTAGGTTTTTTGAGTTATATCATTTTTTCCAAAGACAAAAATGGGTACAGATATGATAAGGGGTGCATATGTGAGATGTATCTGTGTGTATGTGTGTGTGTCTGTGTGTGTGTCTGTGTGCATGTGTGTGTGTGTCTGTGTGCATGTGTGCATGTGTGTGTGTGTGTTTTCCTGGCATACCAATAGTGGTATGAGGGTTCCAACATGGGTTTCATAGGAAGATTTGTGTTTTACTCATTTTATTGTTTGAGTTTTCAAATTTAAATTTTTTTAGTGAAATAATGGTCATACTTGAACACATTTTCAACTTTGTCTTATAATGTTTCTTATTTCACCCACACAAAAGAAGTTAGCAACCATGTGTTAGTATTCCTTCCCTTTTCTTAAAACACACACACACACACACACACACACACACACACGCACGCGCGCGCGCGCGCGCACACACACTGTTCCATGGAATTCAAATCTGGAAACCATTATAGCTGACTAAGAATTTACAAATATAAATTATGGAAAGCCACTATAACCCTTTTGTGAAATATACAAAAAGAAGTTTTGCATTTAGAAATGGAAAAACACTTGTCATATGCTGTTCAACAAGAAGAACATATTTAACTTATGAACATAATAATGAGGGCCATATACTTTACTTTCATCAGCTTTGCTTAAACTAACCAATAATAGGTATTATTGTCACTGTTTTTCAAAGGACAAAAATCTAATGGAGTTAGGTAATTTTCCCAAGGTCCTATAGTTAACAAATAGCAGAGCTGACATTTAATAGAAGTCTGACTCCAAAATGGCTCAGGATTTAAGTAGTTGTCTGGCTACTTCCAAAAACCTTCCAGTTTCTAGAGAAAGACAAAACTGAATTAAGGGTTAGAAAATGTGATTTTTCAAAACAAAAGGACAAAAATATTATATGCATATGTATTTTATGTTTATTTTCTAAAGAAAGAGTATGCACAAAGGAAATTATAACTTCTTTTCAAAGTTTAAGAAATCTAATGTATATAAAACTCAAAAATCAGTTCCTGTTTCCACCAAAGCAAACATAAGTACACAAAAGCAAGTAGAAAATGAATTTATGTATTGTTAAAATACACTGGTGTATCAGTTTGTTGCAGACATGATAATTATGGCTTAATCTAATATGAATTGATATCGTGTAACAAGAAGTCCTGACATGGATGGTATCTCAGATTGTACCAGTAGTTCATTGTTAGGACCAACCTTGGCTTTCCTCTCTCATGATTACACAATTGCTGCTACAGTTTTAGCCATCACATTTTCATTCAAGCCAGAAGGCAGAAAGGGTGTGCCAGCTACATGTAATTCATTTTCCTTTTCTAAAACATCCTCGGTTGCCTCTAGCCGTGTTCTCTTTAGCCAATGGTGGGTCTGGAAATTTGGGGAAACAGAAAATAACAATATTATGATTGGCTTAGACGATGGGTTAAGCAAAATTCTGGTCCCTGAATATTCCAAATCCAGCTTTATTGGAACTTATTCATACCCATTTATTTATATATTGTCTGTGGCTGCTTTCACACTACAATGGCAGTTTCATAGTTGTAATGGACCACGTGGCCTGCAAAGTGTTAAAATATTTACCATCCAACCTTTTACAGAAAGAGTTTGCTGAGTCCTACCTGAAACTAATCATGATCCATTTCCTGGGGTGATTAAACAAACTCTTTCACAATAACTGGGCTTCCATTAAATAAGGAAGAAAGGGGAGAAGGGACATCGGAAAGAACCAACAGGATATGTTACAGGTGGTCACCAGATCCAGTTAATGATATGCAAAACTCAAAACAATATATTTTGTTTTAAGTCACAAGGTCACCTTGAAAATGTAATTTTTCCACTCCTTCATGTTCTCATAAGCCAACCAAGACAATTTAGAAAGGCAAAAACTTTGCAAAATATACAGTATCAAGTGAATTGACTATCATGAATCCAGAAAGATAATCCCCAATTTACTGACTCTAGTAGAACACCAACTAAGATACTGTCAGTGTCTTAAATAATACTTAACAATTTCCACTTACCTTTAAACTGTTTATTTCAGGTTCTAGCATACACGGAAGGACTTCATGGAAAATGGATGTTCAGTGAGATACGAGCCGTATTTTCTAGACGTTATCTTCTACAAAACACTGCTCTGGAAGTATTTATGGCAAACCGAAGTAAGTGTTCTTAAATACTTTGTAAGAAAAATGTGCTCACATTTGGATGTTATTCATTTATATGGTGTAAGGCTGTCTTGATTTTTGTCACTTTATTTCTCCTTTGGGTAGGTTCTTGCTAAAACAAAAATTCATTTTTAAAAATAAGAGAAAAATAATTTGTTTGAAAATGTTAATCCTTGTTTCACATAGACATAGCTATAGATAAGGCTATTTTGTCATGAAAATTAATTACCTTTGCAAATAAACCATGATAGACACTTGAAAATGATTTCTTAAGTTGATGCTTAGTTCTACTCTGGTTTTCTAAACCATGTTCTTTTCTTCTTACCACAGCCTCTGTAATGTTTAATTTTCCTGATCAAGCAACAGTAAAAAAAGTTGTTTATAGCTTGCCTCGGGTTGGAGTAGGAACCAGCTATGGTCTTCCACAAGCCAGGTAATTATTATATCACACACTATCTTAAATTTCTTCACATATTTCAATCTTGGTATGACAGAAATGTCAGTGTAGTTGCACCATTATAATTATTTCAAGGACCAAGGAATTTTCATTCTCTGTGAGTTATTTGTATGGAAAGAAGTTATGAAAACAGCTATTTTGCAAATAACAATGTAGTTAAAGCAGAGTTTTATTTAACACATATCTAGGTGAATAAGTAAAAAAGTTGATTGTATATCATAGGTAAAATTACATGTGTACAAAGAAGACATGTTTCTTATTTTCTTGTAGGAAACATACCAAAAGCTTCAAGATGTTTATGACTAATTGCTGTACAATAATATATGAATTATGCTTTTTTAAATGCTATGCATATGTGCTTCTTCATTAGTATAATAAAATTCATAGAGTTTACCTTGAGTAATAGTCAGTAATCGTGACAGTTTTAACTATTATGTAAATGTTTCATCTTGATATTTTAGAAGAATCATTTTGAAACCTTATTTTATTAAAAGATACTACTTCGAGCAGAAAACACAATCATTATGCTTATTGCTAATAGCAATTAGTCTGGTTTTGATGCTAAGTAATTGAATACCCAACTAAAAGTAGGGGCGCTTGCTCTCTCTCTCTCTCTCTCTCTCTCTCTCTGTGTTTGTGTGTGTGTGTGTGTGCACATGCACACACTTAATACAAAAGACCTACAGTAAAGCATTATCAGTATTGAGTTAGAGATTCAGTGATGTCAGTCAGGACTCTTAAGTTGGCCTCATGTTCACAAAATTAACACTACTGCTCCATACATCACATCCTCACACAACTACATTAAGTAGGAAAAAAAAGATACAAAGGATTTCTCTTTAAACTTAGCTGTTTTAGGAAGGAATACATTTCTCATGGACCGCCAGTAATGTTTATATCTTAAGTCTGTTTGATCAGAATGTCAAGCCTGTTTGGTCAGAATGGGACAACCTTCCCACTCCTAAAGTGGTAGGGAGAGTTTGATGGCTTAGCTCAACAATCCCCTAGAATTTATGGCAAATATACCTCTGACTCCTTGTTGCCTCCTACCTGAACAAAAGAAGAATTGCATTATTGTAGAAGAAGGGAGAAAGGCTTTGAGTAGATATGCAACAGTTTCTACCACATACTGTTTTGTTCCTGAAGACTCCTGCAGTGTACTAACTGAATAGAAAGAAAACTAATCTTTGTCTATCTTTCCTTAAATAGGTTACAGACATTTTAAAGACAGGGACTGTGTTTTATTTATCTTTTAATCTATAGCACCTAGCACATTGCCTAATTGCAAAAGTGCTTTTTAAGTGCTATTCAGCTGGAGTTCCCTTGTATTACATCTTATCTATTTTCTTTTCACATACTGTACAAGAGCAATTCACTGACATGTATGCACATGCTCAGGATATTTCCTAGTAGAATGACAAGATTCAACTAAGACATTAGTAGATAATGAAGCACTTATATAAAATACAGGTCAAAGAAAAAAATGCATTTAATCTATCAAAGAAAATGAGGTTAGTTTTGCAAGACTTGTTCTTACTGAATCAAAGCTGACTCACAGTAATAGCTACCTCCTTTCCCAAGTGCAATCTATTTGTTTACTCATCAATTCAAGAATTTTTCCAGAAATGAACATTAAGAACTCACAAATACATCTAACTTTTTTCCTACCTCTTGGCAGCTTTCTCAATGACCATGACTGCTGAAAGTTTACTAACGGGTTTCTAGAAGGCATGTGTGATCTCCTTCAGTGCTCTTGGACTAGTCTAAACCTGAATCTCGATTTATTTAAAACTACCAGTAGTGCTCTTACTATTTTCCTTACCTATTATGAGTATCCTTTCTCTTTTAACTACATTTGATCTCACTTTGACTTTTGGAAGATTATTGTTCTGAAAGCAAAGAAAATGATAAGCATTGCTTCTTTCTCTGTTAATTCATGAAGGCATTCACTCCCTTTGTTGTCCATGGCTTGACTTTTCCCTAAAGGTTCAACTAATTCTTAGTTTCCTAATACTATTCTTATAGGCTTAGTTTTTCTTTTTTCTTTCTTTTATTTTCTTTTTTTTTTTTTTTTTTTACTTCCTGAGACATGTAGTTTTAGAAAGAACAGAAGAGGTTAGGAGGATACTGAACTTAGGCTTAGACCTGCCACTTATAAGCTGGGTAGCAATAAGAGCCGAGTATTTAGTAGGAACTCAGTAAATATTGATTGGATAATTCCAGGCAAGAGGAATGACACTCTCACCCACCATAAAATGGGGACAATATCTTTACAGAATCATTCGAGAATTTTTTGAGAGAATAAAAAAGGCACTTTGTAAACCATAAAAAAACCATGTGCATTATACACATATACATACATACACATACATGCACATACATACACAGGTTCAAATAGGTAGATATGCATATCCATGAGTGTGTATATGTGTGTGTGGGGGGATAAGGTCTACTTATATTTAGAGAGTTGTCAAGAGAAGGAATGATACCTGACTTCTACAGGTAGAACCTCTCCATATCTTGGTAGAGTCACAAAAACGTCTAGAGATCTATTCCTTGCTTTGCTTTTTGACATTGGGTTTTATCAGTTAAGCAGAGTTTACCCAACTCTAGGGACCTTTTAAGTTAAAGCCTCAAGATACTAATTTTAAACAAAAATAACAAAACACTCAAATTCAAAGGCCGGTATATTAACAAAACAATTGACTTCAAAATTCTTTAGGCCAATTCTTGGGCACACCCACCACAGAGATCACACTACAAATTAGATGGTTGATTAATGAGCAAAGGTTTAGAACAAAGGTAATATTTCCATTAAGCTAGAATAACCTAATGAATACCCTTTAATTAATGACTGTTCATAGCTTTTGTTTACTGAGTACTTCCCATGTGCCAGGGACTATAGTTTGTGTTTTAGTTTTTAAGTATTATTTTCATTATTCTTAAAACAATCACATTCTTTTTATATTAATTGTTGTAATTATTAATGCACTGTTTTTGGAAACTGAAATTCCAAGAACAGGAGGCCTTGTCTGTTCAGCCTCTGGCTAGGGCCCCTTTGCTATGTCACAACATGATGGAGAAGCAGAAGGGGACATTTACATGCAGAAGGGATCAAAGACCCAGAATGGCTTCACATTATAGCAGCCTGATGTCTTGAGAACTCACTGAGTTCAGGAATCATCATGAATTCCTTCCAAGGACAGTACCCGGTGACTTAATACCTTCCGTAAAATCCTAGTTCTTAAGTTTCATGCAGGCTCAATACCACCACAGGGCACCAACCTTCTAGCACGTGAACATTTGGGAGACAACTTCAAAATCATAACAGACATTCAGTATTTTCTGAGTTGTTTAGATCTAACTATAGACCTAACTATTTAATAAACAGAACTGTTAGGTATTTCTCTTGGCCAAAGGGTACCATGAAAAATCGCTGAGACACCAATGAATTTTAAAAGTTTGGGAAACTTCATTGATCATTTTAAAAACTCAGTAAGTTTTATCATAATTTTTTCTAAATATACCAATTTCTATTATATTTAGATAACCACTTTGAACCTGGAAAGTATTATAATCTATAAAACTTTTTCTGATTTATTTCCTAATTCTGTTCTTATGTCCCTTCTTCTGGAAGTACTCATTTATTCTCAGTTCTCAGTTGTTTGTTTTTGACCTCATTAGAGGGGATATACATTGTGTGTAGAGGCCTTACACACACTGTATGGAAGCAGGCATACACATTAGTGACAGCCACCATTGTTATGTAAGATTTAAGTCAAATGCTTGCAAGCAGACATTTGACTAAATTACCTATCTAGCTTGTTAACATGGGGTAGATTTATTGTATTGTATAAAAACTACCTTGATTTATTTTGAGTATGGTTTTATCTTTTTTCTTCTTATTTACTTGTAAATACCCATTTACTGTTATATTTTCACAAATAGAATTGCTTTCAAATAGGCTTATCCTCAGTATTTTCTCTGTAATAGAATTCTCAAATATTGCTTATTTCCAAAATTAAGATATCTTTTAATATTTGTCTAAGAAAAACAAACTATAAAGTATTTTAAATTGAGTAACTCGAAACCAATATTTTAGTTAATACTGGATTTTTAAAAGCCATGAGCTAAGAGAGACTGTGTTTGTTATGGTGTGCTTAACAGGAGGATATCATTGGCCACTCCTCGACAGCTTTATAAATCTTCCAACATGACTCAGCGCTGGCAAAGAAGGGAAATTTCAAACTTTGAATATTTGATGTTTCTTAATACCATAGCAGGTAAGACATCTCATTTTTTAAACTTGCAATATGTTTATGTTCATCAAAATCATTGTTAATATGACTTGATGTGATATATTTTTCTCTTTGGGCTTCCAGAGCAGCATTAAGATAAATATTGAAGCACTCACATTAAATTTTATCAGAAGCTGTACAAGCTAATACCAAGGTTTTAGATGCATTTGTTGTTGAAGAGGCTTTTCCTTGCTCTCCTTCTGCCATTTCCTTTGCTGACAGCTTTGTCTGAAGGTTTATTAGAGTCAACAAACCATTGCCAGAGAGGGTCTGGAAATAATAATGGGAAAATGTAATTTCACTACTTTGTCATTCTCAGCAATTGCAGCTAGACAGGAGAATAACAACAGGATTCTGCCTAGTACAGATGTCACCTGGATTATGGCATGATTGGGTTACAGCATCTTTTTCCTTAAAAATCTTCAAGTAAAAATAAAAAATCAGATTACATTTTCTAAATGATGAGTAACTGCCAGCCACCTCAACAGTCACTATGCTTGTAAATTAAAAGGAGGTAGTGGCTTTGTTTTCCTGCTAAATCACTAGTTGTCACTGGTTAAATATATGTCTATGAGATTTAAGTACCTCTTTCTTGTTTCTTAAGTTAAGCTCCAAAAGACCTCATTCATGTTAACTACAAAGGGTTTCCTTCTATAAATTAGGCTCTACGGAAACTTTCTGCACTTAAATGAATTTAAGCAACTATTATTATTTTGTTATGAATGAATGCCCACAACCATCAACTTAGGGCAATGTACTGCTCTTAATCATTGATTTAGAATATAATTATGTAATAGTATTTTTTAATAATCTATCATATACAGGTATGACTGTGGATACTATAGGCATACATTAAACATGGATAACATAGATATGTATTAAATAAGCAGGTGAACATGATTTGTTATTGTTAAAGTTATTTGAATGCTGAAATCTCTTCGCATTTTAATTACTTATATATTTATACATTCATATATTCAAATATATAGTATACACATATGTATCTTAAAGAACTATTTACTCCCTCAAAATTAAAAGAAATGTATTATACTATTTAACTGGCATTTTACTTAAATATATAGATAGAATTAACGTATGTACTTGAAATATAAAGAATGTTATGTTTTCTTGCCTTTCATATTGTATTGTTCTTTTTGTCCACATGAATAATTTTTGACCCACTTCTCTAATGATTTAAAATGTAGTCAACTTTTTATTCATTCTCCTAGAGCTATATTTAATTTTTTTAAATAACCTATAATGTGTTTCTCCTGTTTTTGTACTGAAAAGCATATCAACATTTTAAAACGCTCCCATTAAGAGAGAAAATTTAAATCAATTTTTATCTTCATTTATTCCTTTTTAAAAAATATAATTTATCAGCCAAAATTCAGATTGTTATTTGCCGCTTATCTTTTAAAATCCATGTCTTTTCTCATATTAAGGATCTCAAACTATTAAAAGTTTCTTCTTTTTCATTTAGTGTATTATTTTCAGCTATGTGTTTCCTTACTTGATTTTTCAGGCTATTATTTTCTTTACATTTGACTGAGTTGTGTTCTTTTTTTTTTTTCATATTCCCTGTTAAGTCTTTCTATTATCTGTTCTTCAGAGATTTATCTCAGAGCCTATCATTAGATGGTCTTGTGTTTTTTTCCTTGGCTGTGCTAGTTATTTGGAGCTGTTGGGTGTAAAACAAGTGATATACCTCACTTCCGATTCAGTTTCTAGTCTAGCAGACATTCATATTAAACGGTTTTACTGTTCTCAGATGGAACACACTCCACCCTCTGGATGAAACATTGCCTAGATGATCATTCTAAAGGCCTCTCCTACTCTCAATCTTTTCTGCCGAATTTGCTTATGTAGGGTAGATTTCTAACAATATGGTACAGTTCCACCAAAACCACCACCCACTTCGTGACTTTTGCTTTCTGGGAGTCTCTTTCTCTAACTCTGGAAAGACCATTGTGTCTGAATCTGAAGAGAGCTGATAATATTGCCATTTCCTTCCAGAAGTTTCCCCTGAACAATACAGAGATCAATATTTCTTTTTCTTGTTTGAACAACCTTTGGATTTCTAAGCCAGAGCTGGCAGAGTTCCATCAGGGGAGTTTAAAAGTATCTTTCTTTCTTGTTTTGCATTTGGTGACATAAAAAGTGTATAGACATTGACTTTTTAAAAGAATTTATTGTGAGATTTTAAATAATTATTTCAACTATACATTAAAACAATGAGAAAAAATGAAATTAATATAGATACAAGAAATTTGGAGCACCTACAATCTAGATAGATAAATGAAATCTACATAAACAAGAATGTTTAAGGCAGCTGATATTAAGTTTTGAATAATTTTTGTAAATAGTGAATGCTGCAAGAGCTAAGCAGAGGGGAAGATTTTTTAATATATTTAATGTGTTTGGGTACCAGACATGGTGGCACACTGCTCAGGAGGCTGAGGCAAAAGGATTGAAAGTTCCAGGCCAACCTCTGCAACTTAACAAGATTCATGCTAAAAAATAAAAAGGTTGTGAATGTAACTCAGTGCTAGAGCACCCCAAGATCCACCTATGTAATTCTCAGTACCACACAAAAAGAATTAAAGAAAGAAAGAGGAAAAGGTAGGGAAGGAGAAAGAGGGAGGGCAGGAGGGAGAGAAAATTTGTGGAGAAATAAATTTTAAAGTTTCACCAGTTTAGAGTTTCACCAGTTTCTGCCAGTTGGATACATATGGTGTATTCAGGAACATAAGTACTGTATCTAGGCTGGAAGGAAGAACAGCTAGTATTGGAGCTGTAGGTAAGAGCCTGACTATAAATAAGAAATGTTTGATAATTCCAGAGTTAAACTTCCTCTGAACCCAGTGATCAGAACAAACTTTCAGAAGAACAAAATTTCAGAAGAAATATAAGGAATACAGTATGGAGTTCGAGGAAAATCAAAATAATAATCAGGTGTGATGTGAATCAGAATTGAAATAGCATAAACTTAGTGCTATGAGGAGAGTATTACAGAAATATAGATTGATGTCAGTTTTTTTTCATTCTTTTGTGTTGTTCTTTTTAGATGTACAATGACAGTAGAGTATATTTAACATATTTATACAAACATGGAGTACATATTATTCTGATTGGGATCCCAGTCTTTCTTTTGGTAAATAATTACTGCAATTTCACTTTGTCACACACCCTATTTTTCACTGCAATTACAGAAGCAAGTAAAGTATGTTTTCTGTCTTTGAAGAGATCATAGTATAGTCAGGAAAACGGACCTGTATACTAGCAGTTCCATACATCCAGCCATTTGGGGGTCACAGATCTTGAAACCATTAAAACTAAGAGATCAAGAAAAACTTCTCATTGGTGACATTTAAATTGGAAATTGAAACATGAGCGAGACTTCAGTAGAAAGTAAGCAGAGGGGATTCCAAGAAGAAAAATAACATGTGGTAAAGATTTGGGTGAGATTAGTGGCAGCAGGAATGGCCAAAACAGAAGTAGATGACACTATGTATGATGTTGTTATTCAAAAAGTATAAATATCTATAGTTTGTCCTAGTTCAATGCTTCTCAAACCATAGTACCCTGTGTGCAGCATAGGGTACCACCTGGGGACCTGTTAGAGATGCAAATTCTCAGAGTCCTCAAACCTACCTACTCAGAAATTCTGGCTGTGGAGCCCAGCAACCTGCCTTTCAGCAAGCCCCTAGGTGGTTCTGATGCAACAAGTTTGAGCCTCATTGCTCTATCCCTTTAAGATCTAAGATCTACTTATCAGAACAAGATGTGCATATAAAAACATTTAGAACCCAGGAGAAAGTATGCAGTTAAGTGCCATTGAGTGTAATAAAAGTTGAGAGACAGAAGAAATTAGGATGAGAGAGTCTACTCAAGGAAAGCTTCAAAGAAAAGTGAAAAATATCTCTTCCAGGATTTTGTCAGACACTGATGATTATCCAAGTAAAATGAACCTTTATAAGTAGATGGCAATTGGAAGAAGTTATGAATGTAAATATCCTCAGGTGCTCTTCCTGGATATATTTCTATTAATTCTTCCCTTACCCTCCTCCTGAAGTAGGAGTGCCAATTTATTCTGAGCATCAGCATTGAAGATTTGGGTGCTTGTTTCATAGAGAAGCTTCGCTAGTACCAAGATTAAAAACTTCTTAGGACAGCAGTTAGAATTGCCCATGTTCCTGAATTGTGACAAATGGAGTATATCCACTCATATCTTCTTATTAAAACATCTTTCAGAGTTATCTACGGATCCTAGAATATAAGGTAATATAAAGATATTAAACTGTACTCATATCATTCTTGTTAATAGTAGATTCATAATCATATTGTTTCATTGCAGTTTTAGGAACACAGTTATTATTCAGCAATACTTTTATTTGATTTAGTTGATTGAAACTCAGATTTATTATTTCTACACAGAATGTTAGAATCAAAAAATAAGAAGTGATTGGCTTATTATATTTTATTCTAGTCTTTTCAAAGCATATTAAAATTATTATCGATATCAAGATTCAGAAAAATAAAAATAATAGTATTTTTAGTATTTGTTTTGTTTCAATATTCCTTTTAAAAATACTTCTTTAATTATTGATATCAATATTCAAAAATTAGTACATAGTAGTTTAATGTTTATTGAGGGACTCATAATGTGCCAAATATTATCCTTAGGGTTTTATGTGTATTTACTCATTTAATTCTCACAACAGCCCTAAGAGTTAGGTTCTGTTCTTATCCCAATTTCACAGATAAAGAAATATGGTAAAGAAAAGTTAAATAATTTCTCAAGTCACATAGCTAATAAGTGACAAAATTAGATTAAAACTTAGGTAGTTTGATGCCAGAACATGGTGCAGCTTCAGGATATTTGTGGTGCCATTTTATCTTTGGCCATCAGTCCTAATTTGTTAAATGCTTTTAAAATCTAAACAGTGAATGACTTAAAACAATTTTATCATTTTATTTTGCAT